ACAATGTCGTCGCTGGTTACGTCGGTGACGGGGCTGTTGGAAGGTGGCATCCGGATGCCGACCTGGTAACCGGGGGTGACATCGTTGACCCAGAGCTGGTGAAGGTTCTGGTGAGCCGAGACGGCGGAGAGGAGAGCGCTGGTGAAAACGGCCTTGGTGAACATCTTGAAGTTTCAAAGTTGTGTCGTCGGTATGATATGTACAGTGACTGGATATGCAAAGATATGCTAGTGATGCCTGATCACGAAATGAATGTAGTGTAAAGAATGAAGTTGGCAAAAACCGGAACGAGTGTTGTGCAAGAAAGGACTGGCCTGATGGAATGATGAGCTGGAGAAGTCAGGACGACGGCAGCTTTTGTACTCACCCCACGCAGATCTATTCCCTGTCTTAGGCGCCTGGCATGAGATTAATAGTCCCGGAGATCAGGACAAACCGCCTGGAATCCTCCATGACACCCGTTCACGCTATCCCAGCCACTGGCAACGGGAACGACATCGCCTTGACAGATGCCAAGAAGCGACACGCCAGCAGTACATCTAGATGAAGTGCTAGTCTGCCCTTTTTGGGCGTTGTCCGCGATGCTTGTTTATGCGACAGGCACCATCCGAGATTGGGTGGGCATGGTGGTGGAGAAGCTGGGAAGCGAGCGTTTCCAGTCTCGCTACTTTGGGTTAGCGAATCCGTTTCAACTGTGCAGCCGCATGTTTCAAAACACTGCGAGAGCGGTTCGCTGGGAACACGATCCTGCAGCGAGTCGCGATGAACATGAAAACTTCGGTGTTCTTGTTGCCGAAGCCCGTAGACGCAGCTGACGGGTTGTGTGATATCCGGAGAAATTTCACGAGACTGCGTTGATGCAGTAGTCGGTGGTTTGAAAAAAATGAAGTAACATGTGCTTGAGAATGCGTATGAATCATGTGAACGACTTTCATTGCAAAAGCAATCTACAGTTCACTACCTTTGATGAGGCTGCACTTCATGACGCGCTGCTCTGGCGCCTGGAGTGGGGCAGCACCTCAGTCGGAGAAAATGTCTTCCTCATGGGGCTCGTCTTTTGAAGATGAAACCTGTAGGCGCTGGTACGGTGCGTCCTTCAAGCACCGTAGAAAGACCGTCCATTTCCTTGCCCGTGTCAGGTATTGGTTCGGATATTGGTGCCGTTGGGCTTGGAGTATTTGCAGTGGAAGTAACAGTGTCCGCGGGCAATGCGAGAGTTCTAGTAGGAACAGAGACGCTCCCTTGAAGCACTTCTCCATTGACGTAGATATGAATCTCCTGCACTGTAGAAACTGGCAATGTCGGATGGATGATGGAGAGGAACCGTGCGCCAGCTAAGATCGAAATGAACCACAGCGTTATGAGGAAGAAAATGGCGAAAAGTACCCACGGCACAAGGATGCATTTTCGCGGCATTCGACTCCGTGCAGGCAGTGAGGTTAGGAAACCCGGTCCTAAAGACTGCGCAAAGTGGGGGTGGTTTGTGTCCTGGTAGTCGGGCTTGACCTGAGCTTCCTCCATCTCCTTTGAAGCTGCTTTGCTGTAACGCGGGATCGAAGAAGGCGACTCATGCGTGGCTTGATGGTAGGGGTTGTTTGAGGCGCCACCTTTTGGTGCTGAACCAAAATTGGCGTTTTGGGGCGTATGAGGAGCGGTGTACGAAAGGAACGTAGAGCTGTATGTTGGAGCTGGCGAAGGCAAGCTCCCCAATTCGGTGGAAGCCAGGTCTAATGACGTTGGTCGGTTTTGGGCGTCCATGGTGGAGGCGGATATTTGGAAGATCTGTAAGTGCGACAAGAAAGAGGACCGGCCTTTTAGTGATTATAACAAGGAAACAACGCGGAGCTTGACTGCTGCAGCAATTCAAGTGCGGACAATGCAGATAAAGGCACTGCATCTGATGAACAGCGTGGCATCCACAAACAATGATCTATTGCAATTAGCCTACGGAAAGAGTCGTTAGCAAATGTTTCATCGTTTTCGTGCGCATGTGTATCGTTTCCACGACTAAATAATACATCTCGGTGAATGCAGTGGTGGTGAGAAGAAGCCTGGGGACGACGGGTTTGGAAGGCGCGGCGTGCTGACGAACGATTGGCGTACCAGCGCTTTCCCTCGGATGCAGGGGCTAGCCTTGAGGTGTCATACTGGCCGCACCGAGTAGTTTCAACCACCGACAAAGTAAGTAGTTGAGCATGACTATTGTAGTTTTGGTTGTTGGCTCGTAAAATGTCCGATCATAATTGTTTGCACGAGATGTACGTGCAGAGCATGCCTCCACTAGGCGTGCTCGAGGGTATCATACCACAACTCCAAAACTCCGAGCGCAATGACCATTCAGGCATGTCCATACATACTTCCCCGAGTATATTCAGGCTTTCGCCTTGCCCTTGCCAGTACCAGCAGGCCTACCTCGCTTCTTCCCTGCTGCGGCTGGCTGTGCGCGAGCAACTGGCTGTCCGTCTGCCCGTCTGCCCTCGGCTGCTCTGATATCCTCGAGCTCCTTCTCCAGCAAGCCTTGCAGTTGTTCATTTCGCCTCCCAAGTAGCAATACGTCGTCTGTATTGATTGTATTGCGTCCGGCGTGTTTGGAGAAGACTTCGAGGTCGCGGGCTGTGTTTGCTGTGACGGCGTCAGCACCCTGTAGTCTGGGTAGTATCCAAGGACTCGAGGTGGTTCGTACCGATTTGAGTATATACAAGCTCAGTAAGCGCGCCGATGAACTGAGGTGTTGCATTCAGATCGTTCTCCAACGTCTTCTCGTCAACGAACTGGCCGATTGAGTACCAGAGGGCTGACTTGAGCCGCTGTGCATATTGTCAGCCCGATCTCATCATCAATTCAGACAACAAGTTCTCTACCTCTTCGCGCTCTGCTTTGGCATCATCGTTTGACGCCATATCGCCGCGTGGTTGAACTTCAATCGCGTGTAATTGCCGGCCAGACGAGTGACGCGACGCGCCTAACGCGGGCCAATAGCGGGGCCTCGGTGATGACCGGGGAGAAAGTCACCGCCCAGGGTTCTGCCACCTGGGGGTCCACGCTTGAGTGATTTATTGTTATTGCGCGCAATTACTTCCTCGCCAACATCGCCTTTCACGCACAATTCCACACGCATCAGTCTATCGCAAAAGTCACCGAACACTTCTCTCGCGTCACCCTCCAACGAAGCCGTAATCGCACCCCGACGTCGCTCTTCTACACTACTGCGCAACAAAACTACAATCGCGAATACACACATCACATACCCAAGATGGACTACGTACTTGACAACGTGGTCGAGTGGAAGGACCGTCTGGTCAACAACTCGATCAAGTCTTTCGAAGAGATGACCGCCCAGCGCTGGGTTCGCATCATCGCTATCGTGGGCGCATACCTCCTCATCCGACCATACCTGCTCAACGCGGCCGCAAAGAAACAGAAGCAACAATTGGAGAAGGAGGCTGAAGACCTTGGCTTGGGGAAGACAGATGCGTTAGACGCCAACGACTTCAGAGGCAAGGGCGTCAGGGTGAAGAAGGGCGAAGCGAAGAAGAAGGAGTAGGTGCACGCATAGGAAGATGGACGGGCATGGCAATGGGGGTGGTAATACTGTGAAATCAGGGACGAGGATGATCTTGATGGGAACAAGGAGCATAGACGGCTTGAGGGACATGGATATGGGCTGCATACCAACGGCGTTTTGGCATTCGGACTTGGCTAACATGCGGACCTGGACTGTCTTTCTGGCACACTCCTAACACGACGACTGCGATGCATGCGATTACGCGCCTACAGAGAACGACACAACAATACATTCGAGCAGAAATCGACGAGCTAAGCTCTGGGAAGTCCACTTCTGCTTCAATATCGTAATTCTAATAAGATCAACTCTACCCCTTTCTCAATTCTTCAGCGCTTTCGATTCCCTTACTCCGCAGATCGAGCATCGGTGTGTTTATCCTGAATGCTGGCTAATGGACCTCGGTCTCGTTCGCATTTGCACTTGCCTCCATGACAGAAACCCGTTCGTTCAGTGCATGTTCACGCCACATCATCTTCACACATTCACCGTGTTTGCTAGCCCAGCACTCCATTCCATATCCCAAACCACTCCCAGCAGCGGCGTCCGCTCGCTGCCACTTCAGCCCATGATCATCACATTCACAACCCTTCCGCTTCACATGCTTTCCCTTCATAACCCAACTTACTCACTTCCGACTATGTACCCGCACGCGCAACCTGAGCACTACCAATGCCTGACAACGACGCGTACCGCAAGCAAGTTCAAGGAAAAGTCCAGGACCTGGTCTCCGAACGTCACGAGAAAAGTGGTGCAAAATTGGTCATCGAAGCTGTGGTTGAGGGTGTGAAGTTGTATCGCAGCTACAAAGAGGAGAAGGCAACAGAAGAGAAGGGGAAGGGGAAAGAAGATAAGGGGAAGGGGAAAGAAGAAGGGAAGCACAGGAGACATAAGAAGGGAAACGGTATGGACGAGAGTGGGAAGGATGGGCATAGGAGGCACCGTAGGCATAGGCGCGGTGATGAACATGGTCATGGATCTAGTGTCAGGCATCGACACCGTCGTCACCGTTCTAGATCGATGGATGAAGAGCGTGGAAGACGCCGTCATGAACGATCCAGATCCCGCGATAGACGCTCGAGATCTCGCCGGCGCAGTGACGTCCGCGACCCAGTCATCGAGCCTGCTCAGAACGACGATTCAGAATATCATATGACGGGTGGTGCTGGGCCAGCAGGTACTTTGCATGATGAACATCGGAAGCCAGACACTCCATTGCGTGGAGAAGGGGATCGACCAGGAAGTGGTGGCAGTGGCTATCAAACTTCATGGGAAGATTTGGCTCCTGAGCCTCGTCCCCGATCGCGATCCCATGGACGGGGGAAAAATCATCCATCTGGAAGAAGAGACCCAACTCCAGATCGTTCAGGGAGGAAATCGTCAAAGGATCGCTCGAGGGAGCGATCTCGTGGACGCAAGGAAACACACCGAGCCAAACATGACAGACATCGTACTCCCCATCGATCTCATCGTCGAAAGTCTGAGAGGCACCCAAGCTCCCATAGGCGTGACCGTTCACGTACCAAGCAAGCGGATGCTAGCCCAGGCCGCGTAGGCGCATCCCGATCTCCAACAAGGCAGCAGAAAGGGCCAGACGGTACACCCTTTGGCAGCTTACCCGAGTACAAGAGCAAAGGGGGCATAGCCATGGGCCTCGGGGATCACATCATGGCCACCTATAGGCACATCAAAGCCGAGCATGAAGCCGGCCACCGTACCAAAGGTGCGTTGGAGAACGTCCTTGATGGGATGTGGAAGAAGAAGACGGATACGAAGAGTTACAGTGACAGACTCCGAGAAGGGGAAAGGAAAGAGAGGGAGAAGATGAAGACGGATGCGAAGGATTGTAGTGACAGATCAAGGGAAGGCGAAAGGAGAGAGAGGGGGAAGATACGAAAGAGCGAGCCAGAGAGAGTAAGGTGGGCCGAACGGTACCCTGAAAAGACACGGGGCGATGAATGGAAACCAACTGCTGCGGAAACAGAAGCTAGGGAGCCTCATCGTCGTGAACAAGACGAGCGCCGACGTGAGTACGAGAAGCGACTTGAACACGAGCATCGTGAGAAACGACGACAAGAGGAAGACAGGAAGGAAAACCGAAGCTCGCCGATTCCTGAGATCCGTGTTCAGCCTCCTACATCTAGTGGGACTCCCACTTTTCAATCAACGCCAGTTGCGCGGGCTTCTCAGCCTCCTACTGCTCCGGAATATCCTCCTCCACCGGCTCCAAGACAGCCGAGCAGACCTATCCGAGCCAATACTCCTCCCAATCGTACACCCCCAATTGCTCCAGTAGCGCACGACTGGTATGCACCTCCCAGCCGGCCCCCACCTGTCCCTGAGAAGGAACCTCATGGGCGTGAGGCTTCACCACCGCGAGAGCCCAGTGTTCGGGCTGCTGATGATGCGTCTGAAAATGGTGCAGCAGCAGACTACTACGATCAAGCTCCAGGTTCGCCGATGCCAGGGAGTTATGGGGATTATGAGGACCAGGATTATCTGGAGCGGGAAGGAGATGAAGGATCTCTCGCTCATGATGAGATACCATACCCGGAGACACCCCCTTCTCCTGCCATGGCTGCTCAATATCCGGAGAGCGTTCCTTCTCCTACCATACCCTCATATCCAGATACGCCTCCTTCTTCTGCCAGACCTCCATACCCAGATACACCCCCTTCTCCTGATGTATCAGAAGGTCCTTCAGGATCATCCTCACCAATCATGTCGCACGCACCACGCGCTCAATCGCTATCAAATCGTTTTACACCCGAATTCTTACAAAGCATCCAGATGCCAGCTCCCCAGCAAGCGGCATCCCCCCCAATTCCACCACCGCCTCCACCACCGCCTCCTCCACCTCCACCAGCAGCAAGACCACCTCCTCCACCTGGACCCCCTCCACCACGCTCAGCAGGACCACCCAATATGGCCGCCATATTTGGCGATATCCTTGGCCCACGCAAACTACGTAGTGTGGCAGCTGAAGAGAAAAATGACAGTAGTAGCCCGAAAGCGGGCAAGGTATTGTACGAAGAAACAGCACACAGTCGCGAGGTAGAAGAGCACGAGCGAGCTCAGGTCAGGGACGCTGGTAACCGTCTGCCAGTATCAGGAGCTAGTGAATGGAGTACCGCTTACTCCGCAAAAGAAGAAGCCGATGATCGACCAGAACCTAACAGAGCGTTCAGAGAGGAACTAGCGAGGAGATTGGGCCAAGGTATTGACACTTCTATCACGGGGACCTCAAGGGGTTCTGGCGATAGCTTACTAACAGCAGGCTCTAGGACGTCGATGAGTGCCAATGTGTCGCGAAAGCTACATGATGAGAGTATGTTGAACTATCCCTAGAGCTGGATAGGACTGTACTGAGGTGTTGATAGAAGCTCCTTTCCAACGGCTTTCGAGATCAGAGAGTGGGGAGGATCTCATCTTTACTTTGGCGGCACACATTGCGCAGCCAGGCTGGAGTTTTGACGGGCTTACTAGGAAATGATGATGACGGGATGGAACGAGATGAGGTGAGATGGAATGCTGGGAATGGATAGCCGGGTAGGCAAACCAGTGTGAGAGATAATTGATGTATGTTTGTCCAAATAGATCCTCGCGTCATAGGTCATTCGGTCCACTTTGTCGTGAATGTGTGCATTGTAACGCGTCCTGTTGGTGAAGAGTGAACGCGTACGCACCAGGTCCGTGATGGTGAAGGCTGTTGACGAACGGTTGGCCCAGGCTTCCCAATTTCGCGGCAGAGCTCTGGACTGCCAAGCTCGAGCAGAAGAGCCGGGTTATTAGTCCTCATCCCTATTCCTCATATTATTAGCTATCTCGGCCTGGGAACTTCCTTGCGATCTTCGCGCGACAATTGCATCTACATTTCTATCGCTCCTTCACGATTGTTAGTGGTTGCCTCTGACGTTGAGCTGCATCCCCCACATTACTTCAACGTCGCTCCAATTGGACCCTGTGGCATCATCAGGCAGAAGAGCGCAAGCATACCGCCCGCAGCTTTCGCAGTTCAACACCACACCTCCCCCCACACAGAATCAACATGCGCTTCTCATCAGGCCTCGTTCTCGCTCTCCCGGCGCTCGCTGTCGCCGAGGAGCAGGTGCCTCTCCTTGACAAGGTGAAGGGCTTCTTCAACAAGGCGACGGCTGCCGTGTCCGCATCCATCCCCTCCATGCCGTCGGCGCCAGTCGACACCGCAACGAGCAAGGTGGCCTCCAACGCAGCTGCCGCCATCCAGTACCCAATTACCCTGGAGAACTGGAAAGAGACGCTTACTGTTGATGCTACCGCCAGCCCTCCTACCACACAGGACTGGCTCATCTTCACCACCGGCGGCAACACCACCTGCTTTGGCCTGTGTGGCAACGCAACCAAGGCATGGAACGTACGTATAGCATGCGAACATGCAGACGACCGACACTAACATCAACCAGGCTTCTCTCCCCATCATGGCCGCGAAGCCTGATGCGCCCAAGTTTGCGTACCTTGACTGCGAAACCGAGCCTCTCCTCTGCAACGCATGGTCTGTCGGCGCACCGGCGCTCTACTACTTCCAGATCCCTAAGCCCATGGCTGACCAGTCCGCGCCCGTCCCCGTCGTTCGCTACAAGCCCTTGAACCGCACCAGCACCACCACCGAGACCTTCAAGAAGCTCATCGTTGACAACGAGATTGAGCAGGTCACCCCATACGAGGGTCCCTTCCACCCCTTCAACGGTGCTCTCCAGCTGTACAACCTTGCCATTCCTTACGCATACGTCACCTGGGGATTCTCCAAGATGCCCTCGTGGATGCCCATGATCATCATCTCCTTCCTCAGCAGGTCGTTCATGTAAGCTGAATCACTCTGAGATGAAATGCGCATGCTAATCCCAATTACAGGAGCAAGCGCATGGCGGGACCAACTCCCGCAGAGACGCGTGCCGCCGCCGCACAACCTGCTCGGTAAACGCCTACACTCCTGCTTCCTGTAGACTAGAGTCGCACAACAGGAACGTGATAAGCATTGTGCGCGATCTCAGATAATACCCAACAGAGCGATGCGAAAACAGTCTTGGGATTGGACATGTTCTGGTCTGGCTCGTGGAAGTACTCGGCAAATGGGGATGGAGATCTGGATATGTGTAGTGGAAGAATAATGTAGCTCAGATACCTGGAAAGGCGTTCAATCATTGTACCGCTCAGTTGTACTACCATCTAACCAGAATGTCCTTTTTTGAGTGAACAGTTGACGCATCTCATCTGCAGGGCTGCCAAGACACGATCGCGCTACGGGCAATGCCCGAGAATCTCTCGAACTCCGCAACCCCAGTTCAATATCACATCACAGCAACCATGGTGCACATACTGAAGCGCATGCGCAAGCTACGCGAGGCAAGTAGCTAATCTCTGAGTGCATGTTTACTCCTTTGGCAAGACTAACAAGCACCACAGCACGTACGTAAGATCCACCTCCGCAGACACCTCCGAAAACGTCGAAGCCCACAATCGAACCCGACCAACTCGAGATAGCTGAAATGTAACAATGCTGACATCGGTACCTGCGACAGTTGTTATGGATAAGATGTGGACCAGGCGCGCTCATACTGCCCAAAGAGGTGTCGAAGATTAGTATGGAATTCAACACAAAACTCTACGGAGGACATAGAGGGGCAAGGTATGTTGGTATTGCTCTGTTATAAGTACCCGAGGAGGGCAAAAAATATGAGGCCAATTCAGACGCCATGTTTGAGCGCTGGCAATTATACGGAATGACAAGATCGAGCGCTTACGCTACGAACAGGAAATTCTGGCGCAATATGCTGCCCCGGATGAAATACCGTAATCCAGCCATCCCAATGGAAGTCGCGCGACACAACGACCCCGAAGGTCCCTCGCTCCTACACATCTTCACAGCAACCAAAACACAGCCATCGGCTGGCTCTACCAACTCTCCTACAACACAACAATCAGACGCTTCACCACCGTCGGCCACACCAAACCCGCGCAATACGCTCGTACCCGATACCTCGAAACCTACGTTTTCGATTGACATGAGAGACCAGTCGGAGAGCGAGATCTTGGAGGCACTGGTGGAGAAGATAGGCGCAGTGGAGATCAAGCCGACGGAGGAGGAGTTGGCCGAGATGAAGGAGATTGAGGAGTTCAAGGAGAGGTCAGAGGCGGATAGAGTGCTGGTTAGGGAGAAGTTGCTGAAGGAGCGGAGAGAGGCTGAGCTGCTCAAGTTGGCGAGGGGTGAGGCACCGGCTGCGAACTAAGTGTGTGGTCTGGGAGAAGTCACCGAGGATTGACATGAGAAACACGAGGAGGCGAGGCTATGTGGTCTTCTACCAGCAATTGGACTGCAATCTAGCGGCTTCAGGCTGAGACATTGTAACATATGTATATTGTATGGCATACCCACGACGTCAATACGAGACCATGTGCCCAATGATTATGACATGTTGGTGCTCGTCGATGCATAGGGCAGCGGCTTCTGCGCAGAGGACGGCCTTCGTTCTCGAATATGCGTCTAGGCATGTTTCGCACATCAAGCGCATTCACATGACTTCGCGCATGATGCATTTCCTCCAAAACGCGTAAACGCGTCCGTCGCGCCTTTTGAGCGAGACTCATGCAAAGCTCCCAGACTTCACGATCAACCAGCGCAAAGCTGCGCAATCGCATAAGCATCACTCATGAAGATGGCATGTAGCCGACTGGGTTAGTCCCAAGCATCAGTGGCCAACGGCCTAGCAAAAGGGAAACGGAATCAGTCTGCCTGACAGACAACCATACACCGAGCTCGAACCGCGTGAACGGTGAGCTCAGGCTGCCGGAAGCTGCCAAAGTTGCTCTGCGCTGCCTGTCGTCCGAAGCGTTCTATTGAGGAAGAAGGCTCCATGATGGACGAACTGTCAACATCTCGACCGTCACACGGGTCCCCGAAAGGACGTGGACAGGAGACGTTGACACAGGGCGTTGTGGTGAGAACTCGATGGGTGAGGGCGCGCAACTTTTTTTATGTCGCTCGGCTGAACGCCGGCGCGCTAGTGGGTAGTGGCTTGGCGGCAAATGTGTGGGCGGAGGTGCGATGTTGCCCGCAGGTCACGGGCAGGCACCCATCACCGAACTTCACCTTTGGGGAATACTGAGTGTGCTTTCACTCTTTGCGACGACCACTTCTGCACACTGCTCGAAAGTGCACTGAAGATTCTGAACCTCCGGCGCCGTCACAACTTTCCTTCCAGGACCATAAACCTCTGCGTTGCGACAGGACATCACGACCGCATCAGCCATGGCGGACCT